ATCTCTCTCCGCAGGTCCAGACACGCAGCGCAGATGAACCCATGACCACCTTTGTGCTGTGCAACGAGTGTGGAAACCGGTGGAAGGTGAGAATCTTTCTATATATCTGGCAGTGCAAAAGCCATCAGTAGACATGAGTAATCTGGCTTGCTGAAGACCATAAAACGGTCACATCCATTATGTGACCGTAATACATGCTTGTGCAATGTAGCCATACGCAGTATTTACTCACTGTAGGCAAACTTCACAGCTGTACTTTACAATAAAGGTTTACCAGCATAACTGACTGCATAAATTGGGTATAAGGAAATAATCAATTTAATGAGGTTTATTTAAAACTAGCTGAAGGCAATAGAACAAGATAAAATGCAGGGGAGACCAGGGTTAGTTGTCATAAGATTTATATCGCAGTAGCTGTAAGATAAGAAGTAATAAATGCTGGTGTTCTCTGGCAGTTGTCAGTTTCACACACTTAATACAATACTTACATATTTTATTTTAAATGTTTATTATTTGAAAGATTTTATTCAAATTTATTTTAAAAATTAAATATTTTCTATCATTAATATTTAAATATTTATACATTTTATGTATATATATATATAAAAATAAAATCTTATTTTTGCTATCGCTGTTGAGAACACAATAAAATCACACTGGCTTACATTAAAGGAAATATTGAACTTGTATTTAAAAAAAAAGAATAAATAAATAATACAATATTTTTTATTTTTTGTATGTTACCTTCTACGTTTTTGATTCATAAAGTTTTGTTTTATCTTTAAAATAATGTTTACATTTTATGGAAAAGCAAAATGGCAGACTCCCATCTTAAAAAGTAAACCACTGTAAACACAATACAAATTCAGAATATATTAAATACTGTATATTAATTTGTTTTCTCTTTTCTCTTTTCATAGTTTTGTTAAAGACTAAAGTGAGCATGATTCTTCATATGAAGAGATGACCTGAATTCATAGTATAAGGAAATGTGTTTTTTTTTTCTTTTGAGAAAAAAACAAACCTGATGTCTTTTTTTTTATATATGCATTTTCATAGCTTTGTAATATATGTAATGAGTGTTGCTTCTTCAAAAAGCTATTTCTGTATTTTTTCTTTTTCTTTTTTTACTGGTGTAATATTATTGCCTTTCACGCACTGCCGATAACTTAGACCTAGTAAGTCAGCTGGCTTGTTCAGTCTTGCTTTGCCTTTTGAGATAGCGCTTGTGCCTTTCTGCTCTGTGAGTGCCAAGTAATTGCTGAAAGAATTTGTACACATTCATACATATATTGTTTTTTTGTTTTTTTTTTGTGGGGGAACATGTGCTTTTCATATGTTTATGCAGTTTTTGCACTTTGCAGATGATTTATTTAACCAAATCTTGAATGATTGGTTGCTTTTCCAGAGTTTAGAAAGACTTGAAGGATTATAGTTAATATTTGAGCCTTAGTGTAGGTGCTAGTTTGCTTCTTGTAGAGAACCAGACGAGGAGGAAAAACAGAATGTGGTACATAATTAAAGGTTCATATGTATTGTATGAATAATTGGACTGTTCTGTCTCAGTAAATTTGGCTAAGAATATTTTGTGGTTTGAATGCGTGTTGTTGTGTGTGTGTGTGTTTGAGTTGGGAACACGAACGAAAAAAAAAAGCTAAACATAGTTTTATAAAAGTGGTTTGTATGACTGTACGCCATATTTGGAATTATTCTCAGTCTTGCTTTGCCTTTTGAGATAGCGCTTGTGCCTTTCTGCTCTGTGAGTGCCAAGTAATTGCTGAAAGAATTTGTACACATTCATACATATATTGTTTTTTTGTTTTTTTTTTGTGGGGGAACATGTGCTTTCCATATGTTTATGCAGTTTTTGCACTTTGCAGATGATTTATTTAACCAAATCTTGAATGATTGGTTGCTTTTCCAGAGTTTAGAAAGACTTGAAGGATTATAGTTAATATTTGAGCCTTAGTGTAGGTGCTAGTTTGCTTCTTGTAGAGAACCAGACGAGGAGGAAAAACAGAATGTGGTACATAATTAAAGGTTCATATGTATTGTATGAATAATTGGACTGTTCTGTCTCAGTAAATTTGGCTAAGAATATTTTGTGGTTTGAATGCGTGTTGTTGTGTGTGTGTGTGTTTGAGTTGGGAACACGAACGAAAAAAAAAGCTAAACATAGTTTTATAAAAGTGGTTTGTATGACTGTACGCGATATTTGGAATTATTCTGAAGACATACGATAGCTTTAGGTGAGGAACAGAACTAAATTTAGTCATTACTCTCTTAAAATCTGCTCATTTACTCATGCACACCGCTCAAAAGTCTGGGGTTGGTAAGATTTCTTTTTTTTTATGTGTTTGAAGTCTCCTTAAATACAGTAAAAACTACAATATTGTGAAATATTATTACAATTTAAAATAATGGTTTTCTGGTTAATGGTTACATTTAAAATGTAATTTATTCCTGTGATGCAAAGCTGAATTTTCAGCATCATTACCCTATCCTTCAGAAATAATTCTAATATGCTGATCATTCTAACATCTCTTATTATCATCAATGTTGTACTGCATAATATTTTTGCGGAAACCGTCATACATTTTATTTTTAGGATTCTTTAATGAATAGAATGTTCAAAATAACATTTATTTGAAATACCAATCTTTTGTAACATTATAAATGTTTTAATTACAGTATTAATTTCTTTTTTTTTTTTTTTAAATCTAACTTTTGGTGGGGAGAATAACAGTATTCAAATGTGATCCCTGAAGACACATCACAACAGGTTTGATGTCAATGGCGATTGGAACCAGTGATATTTGATGTCATTTAGAGTGATTAAGCACTTATATTTTGGTAGCAATGGTGCAATTTAAACCACTTTCTAGGTGCTTTTCTGTCATTTTGGAAGGCCCTCATCTGCATTCACTATATCATAATATGGAAAACATCTCAGAACATCCTTAAAGATATTTCTGTTTCCCACAGAAGAAAAACTAAAAATCCACCAATAGTAAATTAATTTTGAAGTAAACTATCCAAACTAGCATTTGTTGCTTGTTTTTATTGTGCTTCAGATGTTTTCCACTAGAGAGAGCAGTAGGCCAATACTCAACAGAGAGTGAACAGCTGTGTTCCAGTGCCATCATTTGTCTTCTGTATTAACTGAACTTTGTGTCATGATCTGATGAGGCTGATGTTTAAATCCAGTGTTTGATCTCCTTGATCCTGAGGACTTGCACATGAAACTGGTCCTATATTTTGGGAACTTCCCAATAGCGTCCTTGTATTGCAAAGCTAATCTTAATCAAATCTGAGAATAGAACTGACCCTTTGTGACTTGCGTAAGGCACAGCTGGTGAAATATGTCTGGCCTTTGCCTGAGCAGTAATTTTCTCCAAGCTGTCACAACATTTCTTAATTACGGGCGACTGAAAATAAATGCTGTCAGATCTGGTTTTGGATTGAGGAGATCAGTGAAGGCGCTTGTGGATGCTTCTAAATAACACCACATTTGGGTTTAGACCTGCCAGATCATTAAGAAAACGGAGGACTTTGAACCTGTGATGGGTTATAGGGAACATGGTGGGAATCTCCCAAACAACTGTCTCCAGAGAGGCTAAATAGTCCCCAGTTATGGGGAATTACAGACAAGTGTTGTGATCTGCTGATTTCAAATGAATGGTTGGGTTAATGAAAATGCTCAGTGTTTGGAGGAAGTTTCTAGGCCCTTCAAGGGAATAAACCATAATTCAAAGACTTCAGGTGAAGGAGAAAGGAAAGGAGGATTGTAACATGTACACTGTACAAAGTATAACATGTAATTAGTTACCTTAAAGAGCTATTTATACCGTATTCAACAGAAAGATACCATTTTAGTGACACTTTTTTCAGTTTTGCTACAAGAAAAATGAGTTGTTCTAAAGCACAGAAAAAGACCCACAGGTCAAATGATATCACCGTTCTCAATCTCCATATCCAAATGTAAACATTCATTACAGAGAGTAACATGCAATGTTTTAATATAGTCGCAAGCAATTGGTAATTCTAATTGGATTTCAAACCACTCACAAATGTGTTTTTTGCTATTCAGATGACAAATAATGTGGATTTGAGTTAAAGTGGTGAAAAAAAAAATCTGCTGTCTCACAAAATGAGGTCTTAAATAAGTATAAATGAAAACTGACGCATAGCCTACGGCGTAGGTCCAACTCAGAAGTATAAATCAGCCTTTAAGGTCCTTGCACACAGAGTCCGAAACTTTCGTATGCGTTTTTCCGTTTTTTTTGTTTTTTTTTCGTATTCGTCATCCTTTCCTATCAAAATGCTTGCTACGGATGCGAAAACGCAGAAAATCGAACCTGGTCCGAATTTTTTTTATGACGGACGAAAGTTTCGGAGGCAGTGTATAAACGTGATTGACACAACGTGAGGTCATATTTATTTTTCAAAGTGCGAACATTTCGGACGAAAAATTCGGACTCAGTGTGCAGAGACCTTTAGTCTTCTAAAAATGTAAAAATAATTGTAGCTACTGTAATAATTATAATAAGCTACTGATTAATTCAGTGCCTTAAACAAAACTTGGTAAAATGTTACAATGTTCTATTTGTTAACATTAGTTAACTATTAGTAAACATGAACTAAGTATAAAAAAATTCTGGTCACACTTTATTTTAAGGTCCAGGTCTTGCTATTAATTAACTATTAACTACGACTTACTATCAAACACCTAAATACTGCTTATTAATAGGTAGTTGTTAAATTTAGGTATTAGGGATGTAGAATATGGTCATGCAAAACATGTGCTTTATAAGTACTAATAAACAATGCTGCTTTGTGTACAGTCGTTACTGGGGAAACGACAGTTTTGTGCCGTTCAAAATGCGCCACCTGCTGGCAATTTGCTGTTTTTGTTCAGAACAATGCAAAAATCGCTAATGTGCCTTCAAAAATCCAAATGATTAACAAAGTAAGGCGTGTGTGTGTGTGTGTGTGTGTTTTAAATGAAATGAATATTTGTGTTTTAAATTAAGACAATAACTTATAGCTACTTTTTTGACTAATCCCTTTTCTTGAAAATAGTTTGAAGGCTGGAAAGCATCACTATATAAAACTTTATTTATTTGTGAAAAACCTGTTTTTGAACTGCAAATCATGTTTTTTTACAGTCATTTTACGGTATCAGTCATTAATATGTTACCATAAATATTGCCCTACCACGACTTAAATTTATTTTAAAAAATACTGCAGATATCCTATAAATTCTTTCATTTTTAAAATGTATAATTTATATACTGTATGTTGGCTATTTATATTAGGCAATGATATATGCAATCCAGACAGGTGGTTATTAATAGCACAATAAAATCTGATTTAAAGTGAAGAACTCGTGTATGTAAACATGTATTTTACCACAGTTGTAAAGTGCTGGAAAATCTTGAAAATGCACCTTGAAAGTGCTTGAATTTTACTTCGGAAAAGGTGCCAAAGTAAGAACCCTGAAAGAGATTTCAAGAGGGAAAAAAAAGATTTAAGATTTACGACAGTTTAAGTTGAAAATTGAATTTTCAGGTCCTCAAAAAGTGGTTAACGTAATAATTGGACTATAACTACTGTATAAAAATCCCCTAAATATAATAATAAATAAATAAAAACATTATCAAACTAAAATACAGTACATTCATTTAATTAAAGTATAAAAAAGGCCGCCATAAGAAGCGCCAGAGGGTTAAGTGGACTAAATGATTGGAGAAGTCACAATAATATAACATGCATGTACAAAAATGGCGAATATAAGTACGCAGATTGTTATGCAGTAGCAGTTGAGAGCAAGTTTCTCATGTATAGGTCTATTAAAGGTCTTTGTTTTATTGAGAAGAGCTAATCACCTCTGTCCAGATGATGAGACTCTCTCGGCTCTTATCAGCGAAATCTCCCGCCAGATTCTTGTTGTAATGGCAGCGTGAACCGAGCCTCGTGTTTGACTCAGGAATGTTTGTAGAACTTGAAGGGGGAGGGAAAATGGTGGTATTTCCGTCTCGCATTTTTAGCCATTTGTTTTTTTTCCTTCATACATCTAAACTTTATGCAACACAGATGTCTGTACACTGTTGGTTGTTTGAGTCAACGGTCACCTACACGGCAGAAACCGAGAACCGCCTGACTGCTGCCTGTGTTTGTTTTGGCAATATGACAATATTTCCATACATGTTCAACGGCAACAAGAACGATAAAGCCAGGGAAAATCCCTGAGCATTTTAGGATTCTCACATATGTGGTTTCCTGCTGTTGAAAGGATAGTCAACACAATAATAATGAGAATTATCACAGGAAACCTCAGTAGTCCTATCTGAAACGGACTTTTCCTATGTGAAAATTATAACAACTGATATTAAGAAGCCAGTGTGAGGAAAGATAATTCATATTTCTATCATCTAGAGCTCTTAATACTAAACAAAAGTCCTCCAATGCTGCTTGCATCCAAGTCAACTTCCTTAAAGTAAAACCAGATGTGCAGAGGGGGGTCAAGTTAAGTGTAAATGCTATTTAGAGGGGCACAATATATCATATTACCATCCTATGGGCTTTTCACATTTGAAATTACGCCTGTGTGATT